CCAGGGAAAAACTCAGTTCAAGTTGGGGGAGACGGAAAGAAAGAACCTCTGAGGAATCTGGGGTGGCTCTTGCCTCAGCTCTCTGAGAACTCTCGGCCCACCTCGTGTGTGTAGTAGGCCTTCTTTTCCATTGCAAATGGACATTAGTGATGTCACAGGAACAGGTAGAGTTTGGCCACAAATGGCTCCTGTTCACATTACATCAGGTGTTACTAGATTGTTTAACTGCTATGGGAGACTATCTGAATTCAGGGCCACAGATAAAGCCCCACGGAAGGCTTTCACTGTGTCTGGCTGGGCCACTGCTTTCCTCTCAGCTGATGGCCGTGGTGCACGGTGGGCAATCAGCCTTACCTGAGTCAGGTATCCACCTTGCTGTGCACAGACAGCTCTAAGACCGAGCTGTTAGTGTCCACAGGAATTTGCACAAAGCAGAAACAACTTCAATGAGGGATGGAAAGGCTTTCAAACCTTTGAAATTGGCTAGGTGAGGACCCGAAATAGGATGGGGGGAAATAGGATGTTGGTAGACAGATGCAAGCAGCCACTACGGAACTAAAACGGGAACATTTTAGACAAATGGCAGGTAGTTGCTGTAGAAAAATTACAGTTCGCTGAAGACAGGCAGGAGAGTCAGGCCAGCTTGGCTGTGGGGAGCCTTGAATGACAGTCATCAAACGGTTCTCCAGCTGGAGGAATGTCATCCTCACCAGATCTCGAGACTCCATCCCCTTCTTGGAAACATTGCCTCTGGCGACCTCCTCTGACACGTCTAAGCTGCCAGCCTATCAGGACCAGTAGCCACACCTTTTATAACGGTCCACACACTTTCCCATCTTGATTCTAAGTGCGCGCCCTACATCCTGGCCATTCACTTCTCAAGCTAAGATCAATTCTACCTCAGGGAATTACTTTTGTCCAGAACTGAACTTCCTGGACTCCTCAAACAACAAACATATAAAAGTGCTTTTTACTCACTTTGGCACGAGAGGCGGGGACAGGATGGAGAGGGGGAATGCAGGGCAGTTGGGTCCCGGCCTGCAGGGCTCCTGGGGTTAGCCTGGAAACCTGCAGAGTTTGAACCTTGGACAGAGGAGTTGTCAACAGACCCTAATTTACGAGGCCAGAGTGTGCCAGTCTTCTTATATGTGCGCTCGGTCCTCTGAGATGCTTGAGGGAGCCGTGGTCACCAACCTTCCTAGCAGAACAGGGTGTGGCCTCCGTGGCTGATGAATACGTCAATTTTACCCTTTCAGTTTTCACAGACCTTTTTGAAGGGTACCACAGACTATGGATCGGGAGGATTATACCCCCTAGAGCGAGGAGCATGGCCTCATCTTGGAACTGCTCATGGTAGGGACCCCCGACTTGTTGCTGGTGAGCAAAACCAACAGACCAGGTCAGCTAGACAGAAGCAAAGCCGCTGGAGAAAGCACGTTTACCTCTCGATTCTCTGAAATTAGGAACGTGCATTCACCAGTTCCAGGTAAGATCAGAACTGGACGGTGCTAGAATACAAGTCTTGAGTATCTTTGGTCATCCCTTCCTCTGATCCCTGCCGTGATAAACCAGGACTGATGCATGGTTCAGGGAAACCGAAGATTCCAAGAAAATGAAGCTGTTGAGAATTGAGAGGCACAAAGGCAAAAGGCCGCCTCCTGCAAGTTGTTCCTGCAGCCCTTGGCAGGCTGGCGGTCAGGGAGAGGAACTTCCGAGGCGCCCAGAGGCCCTGAGTGAAGGGCAATAGCCCGAGGGCCGTGGAGAGGCAGTGCTAGCTGCTCCCGAGAAATTTACCCAGGAGCAAGCAGCAAATACTGCTCCAGACCCTTACTGGAGTTTGGGGTTGTTACGACAGTCTTAGAGCCAGGAAATGCTTAAACTTTTCAGGTCTCACAGGGAACATTTGTAGAGACGAAGAGGAGACAGGAGTGGGTGTGGTCAGGGAAGGGGTAGGGGATGGTCAGCATTAAAGTGAAATGTTAACAGATCTGTTTTTCTTCTTACTCCAACAGAAGGCTCCACGGAACCTTTCTAAATAACCCTTCCAGTGTATCCTGAGGACGGCAGGGTGGGGAGGAAGCAGGTCACACCCTGTGTATAAATGAAAAACCAGGAGGTGCCAGACAATGGCAGCCTGCACCGCCCTGCTCAGACACAAAGGCCGAGGAAGAGTTCAGGCAGCAACCTGCCAGGGACTGTCCACGGAAAACACACAGAAACACAAACACAACAGTAAGAACTCTTCCAGTGTCCACAATGTACAGCGCTTAAATCTTTATGTATAAAGTTAACCTATGTCGGAACGGTTTTACAGGCCACCTATCTGTCATGAACTGGTAGGAGGCCATCACACGTACGCACACAGCACGGAAGGGGAGGAAGGTTAAATGCTGTTGAATGCTCCACAGCGAATCTCCTTATAAGTTTGCGTTTGACATCAGAACATAAAATAAAACCTTTCCTGGACAATTTGGGTTTCTCTTAATGTTTTTTTTTTCTTTGCATGACATAGCTCACTGCAGCCTCAAACACCTGAGTTCCAGTGATCCTCCTGCATTGGCCTCCTGAGCAGCTGGGACTTTAGGCGTGTGCCACCACACCTGGTTTAAACTTTGTTGTTTTTTCTTTTTTATTTTCCTGTGTATTTTGAATCTGAAGGGCCTTCTTTCATGAGGGCCTAGAGCAAAAAGAACAACCGGGGACTCAGGCCTGTAGACATTTGCTCTAAGGAAGCTTCTGGCCACTCAGAAGGGGGTGTGTGTAGGGCAGAGGCCGGAGTTCTCTGCAGGGGAGGTAGTCTGGTGTGAGACTAAGCTGGAACCAGGGAGTAGGTTCTAGTTCTGACTCTGGCATTGGTTGGCCATGTGGTTTAGCTTTCTTAAATGGTCACGCTGAGCACACTTCACACTGAGTAACACTGTGGAGGGCTCAGACTGAATGTTTAATGCCAAGAAATAAAACTAAGGCTTGTTTCACAAGGGTGAGTGTGGTCACTTCTAAAATGAAGGCATCACATGAGGGGTGAAACTGTAACATGAAGGAATTAAACGTGACACCATTTCTCTAAGTATATTCCAAACTAAAAAATGACTAAATAAATTTGTAACCCAGTGCAGCAGCAGATACACTCCCAGTATGTTCAGGGAAGCGAGTGTAGGGACGGCTCCCGGAGCCCTGCTGTGAAGGGACTTCTGCACTGGGCATTTCCCAACCTTGTTTTGACACCTGTTAACATTTGCAGACCAGGCTTTGAAAAAGCACGGTCTCTCCGCTCCTTCCAACCCTAAACCTCTAGTGTATTTTTCCTTAAAGACCCTCTGCTTTCCCTTGTCACTGAACTTAGTCTTTCGCTGAGTCTGGGGTCCCTCATTTTACTTCTCATCCCTTTTACTGCTATTTAAATACTTATGTGATATAGTCTAGGGTTGGCTTAGATGGCCTCTAAGACCTGCACAAACCCTGAACTTTTGGGATTCTTTGAAAATTGTGACAAACATCAAGACTGAAGCAGCTGCCACTGTCTTGCACTAAGGTCTACCAGTGAGGCCTTGCAGACGACACCCGTGTGCTTCAAACTCAGGCTGACAAACAGATTCCCAGTGAGGCTGGGCATGCAGATGACAGCAGGACACAGGTAAGAGGGCACGGTGAAGAGCGCAGAGCTCAGCGCTCGACCTCAGGCTGGTAAAACATGAGTTCTGTGCCCCGTGTAGGCCGCTGTCCTGTGCCCCGCGTAGGCCGCTGTTCTCGTTTTTCCTCTGCCTTGTCCTTTAACATCTCAATCAATTAATCAAAAAGAAATTGTCTTCTCCTATTACGAACCTTCCAGTGAGACGGCCTGGCCTGGTCTGTCTAGTGTAACCGGTCTCAGGTACCCTCCCTACAAGGGACAGCGGCACCAGCTCTTAGTGTGCCGACCACTTCTCTTTGGGCGCTGCGAAGCTGGGATGTGGTGTGTTCAATGCCTCGTACCCTGGGACACTTCAGCTCCCAGGGAGCA